GAATTTTTTTAGTATAAAGCGTATGCCGTGATAGCATTTTTGCTGGATTAGAGAAAATGACGTACCTCCTATATCTACCTTCTACCAAAGACTCTCCTACTCGCACGGTCACATTACGTATATAAACTTCTTACGTCATATCCCATCCATATCCTTGATCTTTACTAGGCATTATGGGAAGTGTGATCATGAAATTCATTGAATAGAGTGTCAAGAAATCAGATCACGGCATCCACAGAATCCATGTACGCAGAGAACGTAACGTAAAAATCGTTATGTATACGTAAATAGATTGTCAAAAATGTTTTAATATTATCAAAACAAAAATATTTGAGAACATACGGAGTATTTTTCTCTATCTCCAAAAACTTTATTTGTGAAATTAGCAGGAAAAGCTTCAAAGGGAAAGCATAAGAAAACAAAGAAACATCACACATGGCATAATCAAACGGTATACATGGAATGTTATCCATCAAAAACAGTGCAAATATTTTTGTCAGTCTTATTTTTTTTAGTGGTAACTATCAAAAAGAGTGTAATTTTTAATACTAAAGTATCAACCTGGCTGAGAAAGCGTAATGTATTTGCCTTGTAAAACAGTGTATTGTATATTGTCACAGAAGGAGAGGAGGCTTTGGGGATCGAGAGGAAATGGTTTGGAGAGGTTGCGGGCAAGTGCTGACCCGAAGAGAATAGAAAACAGTTTGTTGTGGTAGGCATCTTTGAAGCATGGTAGCGACAACGATAATGATGATTGCAATATTCTGTTGTGAATCAGTGTACGTGGTTACACAGTGTGGATTAATTTAATGTTATTCAATAAAATTAAATAAAATACATGTGGCCTCAAAATGCTTTGATTGTATCTTTTTTTATGAATTTTTCATATTGGCAGACATACCAGACAGCCATCGGCAGTTAAACTGACAGATTCCCTGTTTAAGGTGAAAGGGGGTGTAAGCAATTACACACAGCCTTTCAATATTAGCTAGAGTTCAACGATCTCATGTCATCTCCAAATACTATTAACATTGATGAGTGTATTTAATAGTACATTATACATATTCTGTACTCAGTCTTATTTTAGGAAAGAACACCTTCTAACATTTCAAAGAATTTACTACAAGTAGGTAAGTAGCTTTCACATAAGCATGTACAAATATGTAATATAAAAGGGCGCACATAAAACCCACTAAGTTAGTCCTGGCCTAGCCATAATGTTAAGCTGCAATACCTTAAAAGCCGCTAGGGCGCCCATTGTTGAACTCTACCTTTACCTGTCATGTACCCATAAATACCTTTAAAAACCTTCCGTGTTTTCTCAAGTTATGTTGTCCACAAACAAAACCTCAAAAATGCACAACTCTCTGCAGCGTCAACGTAGGGACGTCATAAAATAACTATTTTGACCTTCAAATTTGTTTTATAACCGCTGCACGCCTACCAAATATCATTAAGATCCATGATTAATTTGATGTGTAGCTTTGCGAGTACCTCTCACCTACACAAACACATTAAAATAGTGTACCGCACTAAACATAGAAATAGATAAAAATAAAGTTAAGAAATATCTAACAACGCGAATGTTACTTCCACCAACAACGACATCCGTTTGCCTTATAACGATTCCAAATTGGAGTAAATTAAAATTCAAGATTTGATAAATTATTGATTAATTTTGAGCCAAATTTTTAGCAATAATCCATCCTATCCTGCTTTAAGAGAAACGATACACTGTAATGCTGACCAACCATCGCTATCGGCACCGGGGTTGAACTGCATGTTAACTGAATCTCCACATGTTAACTGAATCTCTTTGATGTACATGTAAATGAAGTGTATGATGTCATTGTCACCTGGGCAGCACCAGAAGAGACCGCAGTTGCCATGGTGATATAGAGAGGCAGAGTGTTGGCGTCCTCCTTCATAATTGAGTCTTAATTGAATTTTTATAGCGCTCGTGGTGTGTTGTTGCGAGCAGTCGGCTTCAACAGCTCACCGAGCCAATTTTATCCCACAAACTCTGCTATTCAACGGGTAAGCGCAGGACTTTTCCTTTAGAATGCTGTATGACTTTTGCTTTAGAATGCTGTAAGCATTTTGTATATATGGCATGGGTAAAGCTTGTATGTAACTGACGGACAAATGCATAATTTTAGGCGTGTTTTCACCAATAACACTACCAAAAAAAATGTATATTTTGATTAACCGTTTCGACCTTTACCATATTTCACTTGAGTTCTTCCTGACATATCACGGGAAAGGGGGATGGGACAGCGCATTATTTAAGTCATATTGTCTGATTTCTATTGTTTGCTTGTTTATATTTGTGCGTAACTTCCATGTAGTATTATGTATTTGTTAATTTTTTTTCTGTTAGATGGCGGCACTTATATAAAACAGCGAGCAGATTATTATTGGAATGAGCAGAGCACTTTGGACTAATGCCTCTGACTATCTACAGCTTAGAGGTACATATCCAATATTTTGTCAAAAACTTCTCTGTTACATAGCGGATCATAATGACCCCCAGCGAGGGTCTTCACGCTTCGTTAAAAATTGAAAAATCTCAAGATCTATTCCAAAGATCTCAATATTTTAGACGAAATCTTGAGATCTTATGAGACAATCTTGAGATTTTTCATGAAAATCTCCAGATCTTTCAGAAAATCTTGAGATGAAAACAAAAGGTCTCAA